TCTTGCGTTCATACAGCAATTGTTTTTGATTGTCCTTGACATCCATCTTATTGCTATCTTTAGCTATCCCATCGTATATTTCTTAACCAATTATTTGTGCTTCGTAAATGTATAAATTTAATTTAGGTTATGTGAAATTATTAAACCATTGTTATTTGCCTTGATATTATATTTTACACGATGAACGATTGGTTCAGAAATTTAGTTTATTATACATGATCGTTGCTCTTTTTGCCTTCTTTCTTCCTTTGCTATAGTTAAAGTTTAACTTTTATTGTTATGTATAATTCTAGACTTCGAATTATAGAAGAAAAGTTTTTCTTTCAAATATGAAAATCTTATTTACCCAGCCAAAATTTTTTCAATATCATCGGACAACATTCATCCGACATGTCACATGACGAAAAAAATATTCTTATTCGCTGAGATTCGATTTGCCTCTATCGATAATGCAGATTGCTGTTTCACAAATTTCCATTTAGTTTTCTTCTAAATGAGTAACGTTACATTATTATTGTGTGCTTACAGTACATAAACAGATATTTATGTTATGTTGATTTGCGCCATTTAGTTAGAGAAATGTATATTTATAAACTTCTTTATTATTACTTATTATATGGTACAAACGCTTACTGCTACTTAGTCGTCATCTCCCGATGTTATGTTCGTTTCTATATATTTTATTGAACTTTTCAAGAACAAACAAATAAGGATAGTACTGATTACAATCATCTTTCACTTCCAGTGGTTCGTTCAGTTTACTAGAAAGTTAGTCTATGAGAACGAGACACTATACATGATGTTAATAAATTCAACAGTTTCATGTAAATTTGATTAAACACACTCCCGGACCTGATTTGTATGTGCAGTTTGTGAAACTGATATTCGAATAAGTTATTTTTGCGTTAGCCTTATATTATTTGTATGCTTATGGTATATAAACAGATGTTTGTGACATTTTTTATGTAAGTAATAAAGATACTAAATAAACTTTTTATTATTGTTATATCAAAGTCCAAAACTCAGTTATGTTGTTATATCTCTTGAGAATAATATAAATTATATCTGTGTGCGATAACCAACGTATTTTTGTTGCTTTCAGCTTCCTACGTGATTGCAAAATGCCGAACACTGCTACAGTCTCTGTCATTGTTTACACAAAAGACGTGGTCAAACAAATAATTCAACGAGTCGCCGCTTATCAATATGAAACTGATTGCTTCCAAGATATTACTTACAGTACTTTTTAAATGCAAGCAGAACTTATCGGTAAGACTTTAATGTCAATGATTTTGTTCAATTTACCGGAAGGCTTATCTACGAAAATAAAACTCAATACTAATACATGACAATAATAAATACAACAGTTCTACGGGATAGGACCTTAGACTCACACCTATCCGATCCGATAACGCACTTCCACTATCAACATCAACCATAACTATTACAGTAACATTGGCAAGCCCACCCAAAAAGTTATCTAACATTCACTTCTTTCAAGCTATGTAATGCACTTAGTAAGGCTATCCATGACTTTTTTCATCAGGAAGAAATTTATTATGTTTTCTCCGTGCTACTTCGTCGTCAACGAGATAAAATTCGGGATGAGTTAGAAGAATTATTAGGCAACAGTTTAGAAGAAGAAATCGAGGCTTCTCTTGTAGATTGCGAAGAATTAGTGGTGAATATAATGCCGTAACTAGTACCAAACGAGTGGAACTAACAGTGAACGGGTTAGTATAGAGGAAGATACGAGGTTAATAAAAAATTAACCAGTGATCGACTGTTTGTTATTTCTAGATATATTACGATAGGAGAAGATACAATGGTTCTTTTGGAACTTCTCGATATAGACATTCTATATACATGACTGCTCCTTCCCCAAGACATCCTCTTCAATCGCCTTCCTCAGCAAAATCTTTGACTCTAATATTTTCTTTTTATCTTCTTCGCTGTAATCTTTTAATTCGTGTCATTGGGAAAATCGACCGTGTTTTTCATACTCACCTCGCAAACTTTTTCTATTTGAGTTAGGGAATACCTCCCGCTTTACTACCATTGTTCAGGAAATAAGGAAGCGATTACTACCACCTTCACCCACTTTTCCTATAAATCATCAAACAACAGCTCATACGCTTACTACTATACCGTCGTCACCATCTGCAACCTCATCTCCTGATGCCGACGTCCGTCGTTTTTATGCATTCTATACCATGTTCTCGTACTCAATTTCCTCTCCAAAATGCATTTAGCTCTCACTGTACACAAAACACAGGGACTAACACTTACCCCACGTACCTTTGTCAATTGATGACACTATGTTTGCATGTGGACGAGTCTATGTTACCTTTAGTCGTGCAACAAGTTTAGACTTATATGCTTTTGAAGAGAATTAAATTCACATAGATCAAGAAGTGATTACAAAAAATTAAAGACTGTGGTCATTGTTTGTTCATCGATTTCCCCCAAAATAAAAATTTCCTTATTTGCTCAATTATCCGAAAAGTACGATTTGTCCCCACTATCTATTTATTACATCATATTAACATATGACATCAATATTAAATAATTGATAACCCAATGGGTTGTAATACATAAATATTTCAATAAACAATTTTTTTTGCTTGACAGCTCCCCTTTCGCCTATGCTACTCACTAGTTTCTAGACTAAAGAAAGGTGCGATATTTTCCCTTGTTTGGTAGGAGTTAACAGTATTGGAATGATCAATAAAATCGAAACTTTTTGGTACAACCATTATTTATTATCGCACAGGATGTGTGCAGCAAAGGGGCATGCATGTTTGATTGTCGTTATGTAATTCTTTAAATGGTTTGTGTCATGTAGCCAAAATCTTTACGACAAGCTGCATGTAGGACGAATTTTAAAGTATTTCGATTAGTATAAAAGTGCCTTCTCCCCCAAGGGTGGTGGGCGGGTATAGTATACTATTAAAAATCCAGCGCAAAGATCAACACAAAAAAATACGATAAATGGGTATTTGAAGGTTAGCGCGAAAAATAAATAAGGGAAAGAACAACTTGATGGACGAATACGCATCGGGAAAACATCAAAAAGAGTTAGTTTATATGCATAATGGTAGCGTTGGAAATGTACCTTATGCTAACGTATCTATAGCATAGTATATAATAAGATCGGGCCCGAAGTATACTGCATGAGACTGACCAAATAAAGTATATGGTTGACTATTTACGGAATGCCATTACATACGTCTTAGCCAATGATCATTAGAAGCATACGAAAAGAAATGCTACATGACTCGAAGAAGTGACGGCTAAGAAAGATCTTTGAAGCATAGTTAAAATTTTAACTGACTCGACATTACACACTGTAAATCGATATCAAATCGTAATTTACGATGGGATTGTTGTTTCAGCAGGGAAAAAATGTTATTGTACAAAAGTGAGTGGTCACTACGAAATTTCACTGATCAACCACCAACGGGTTTTCAATATGTAAAGTAAAGTTTTACTAATACAACCAATCTTGGTGTAATCAGTGAACTTGTTTGGCATAACTGTGAGCGTATAATTTACAACCAATATTGTAACAACTGGGCGATACGTGACTGTTTACAATGAATCCAAAAATTTTGAAAAAAATTATTAAAATACTTTTGTTCTAAAAATGCCAATTGTAACCATGTCTTATGTCCTAAGTAAAACATTTCTGACAATTCAAAATATGCAAATATATTTTTTCAGATTATTTGGTTCAGATTTCATTGAATAATAATTCGAAACGTAAAATTTTTTAAATTTTGGGTGTTCATAATTAGATATCACCAAATGCTAATTTTTTTCGCGTAGTGTTACTGTGCTCATTAGTGTTTGCTTGCTTATTGAACCAACTTCCACAATATGTTAACGAAAAAACTAACGTAGTTGATCAATAAATTATCTATAATATTCTACGTATCGTTATTCTGAAACCTCCTAATTATCATAATGTATTTTAGTAAGCGTAGCGATATGGAGACCGGTTCTATTATAAGATAATAAAGCTATCGTAAATTAAACCGGACGTTATAAAATTTTACGAAACATTATGTGCAAGGTTAAACTAAAATGCTCGTAGTCGCTAAGAATGAGAGTTAAAGATGAAGATGTTGTGTTAATCTTATTATTTGTATCAAAATGAGCGGGTTTTTCCGTCGAGCTTGTAATCTTTACTATTTGTTTCTTCGTTGCAAACCTTTAATAATTTCCTTAACCAACATAATAATAAGGCTATGTTCCAATGTTGTTAATGTAAATGAGAGATATTACTATCTTTATTATCGTATGAACAATATGATCGTATGGAAATAATTATAACAGCTGGATAATCGTTCACCAATCGAACGTAATATTCACTTAACACATCGATGAAGCAATCTCATTCTTACACACATTATTATTGTTACTGTCAACTGAGTATGGATAAACATCCTACCTAGATGATGACTCATGTTGCGAGAATTTTAAATTTACTGAACGGGAGTCTAACTCCGATAATGATTGTAAATGATTTTATGAGTTACTTGTAACTATTCCGTTGTGATGACATTACCACTACCGAAGAGTATTATGACATCGCTGAACTTAAGTGACAGGTTTAAGCTTTCCTCCCTCCTTAGTAGGCATAGTTCGATTCGAGACTGTGATTATCGTTGTAAATTATAACGTATAAGGCTATATTGCGCATATGATTAATAACGTTAGTCATACGGAGCCTAGTCATGAAGCGATTGTGAGAAAAACCCTCAGGTATATCCCACCACGTTTACAGAGAGGACTACAGTCATGTGAGTAAAGCATCGGTAGGATTTTATTATAATAGTAGATAAACATGTATATTTTCGTTTGTAAATCTCATTTTACATAATGTAATACTGTGTAGTAATGATAAATGATATTAATATAAATAATGTTGGTATATAAGATGGTACCGTATTTTATAAAAAAACAATGTAAGATATCTGATACAAAAATATATAGAATCACAACCACCACTTTTCTCTAACAGGAGACAGAAAATTATGGGACAAATTATTGCCCATTGCCCGACGAGCCGCTTTCTCCTTGTCTGGGCAGAATCTTCACCGTGAAAAAGTTGTCTCCCTGCTACTCCGTTAGCATCACCAGCCCACATCTGGGCGGCCCTCGTTGATATCGCCCGTTGGTCTGCCAGCCAGGTCGGTGCGATGCAATGTTTGCGGTAATTGTTATGCGAAACGCCAGAAACGCGTTCCGCCAGAACTTAGGTCCGTCTTCGTGACTGTCATTGTTGGCAGCGAGCGGTAGAGGCATTGTTAAATGTTTTTTTTTTGGGGAGAAAAGTTTATGTGCGCGCGATAGAGATTGCATTTAAAATCTCCTAATCGCGTTAGTTTTTTTTTAAATTTGTTTGTTGTCTGTTTTAAAATTGTATAGTCCGCTTTAATGAAGGTCTGATTTAACGAAGACAGTATTATAACGAAGCTTTTTTTAACGGAAGTTTTTAACGAAGTACGTTAAAGCGGATTTCACTGTGTACATATTTTTTTATATCAAAATACTAGTCAATATGAGCATGTGAAGAAATTGCTTGTGAACGAATAGCTTTCCTTATCACTGTCCCATTTCGGATAGACTTTGTGCTGTACAAAAATTGATTTGGTTAATGGGAAGGGGTGTTGATTGTATGGTAAAGTATATAGCAAAGTGCTTACCATTAAAAAGTCTTGGCACGAATTGGTTGGTTGAAATTGCAAGCAATCTTTGTTCGCACATTTGTAAAAGGGAGAAGGCCTGCCAAAGTACGTGTTATTAAATCTTATACATAAATTTATTAAAACGTCTATCGCTGTGCCTTGATAAAATAATTATGCCATTAATATTTATACAGTTAACAATAACCGTAAAATAAAATAAGCGAACAGCATAAATGTGGCAATAACCGTATCGGCATATAAATAATAATATTGTTTATATCTCGGTTCTTTTTTTATGCACCTTATTAATTAGCCACAGCCACATATTTCATCAGATCTGCCGATCTTCAGACGCGCACGTTGGTTGGTTGGATATCATAGACAAAAAATAAGGAAAATTGATTATGTTCTTCTTGCATAATATCACATGATAATCTTGACGTATATGCATCCATTGAAAAGGCTTGGCAGTGAAAAAAAAAACTAGCCGTTGCCCTTTTAGCGGAATGTTTATTCATTTGTGTCGTTTGGTACAACATCTAACTCATGGATTGCTTTCATTGGCTTACGAAAGACTTTCTCAATCCGCCAGAGTAGCATGTCAATACACCGCTCATTAATAAGGACAAAGTCAATGACAAGTTCAACGTGGGTCGAATAGACGTTCGGGCACTGCATATCATGTCATTTGTCTTTCCATACACTTCTATTGCGACATTTACTTTAAAGACGGTAGATTTTATAGCCCACATATTGTCTTCAAAAGATATGGTGAAAATGAATAGAACTAGTCAATAGGTGGTGGGCGATGAGAAGGTTTCAATATAGAGTTGGGTACAAAGATGATCGCTGATCCTAATATAAGATTGCAATTGCATCAATCTTGTCTTTTGTTCAACAATGCAGCAAGAAACTATAAAGCAACCGCCTCATATCTTCGACAAGCGGAACCTTTGACAACCAAAAATAAACGGCGTTATTCTAAGCACATTTTGTTCTAACGGAAACTCAAAGTAACAAAGGAAACTAGTCAACTCGGATTCATAAATGGCAATTAGTTAGAGAGTAATGTCACGGATATGTATTCTGTTGTAATATGTGCAGTCCATATTACCCGCCCGAGCGACTCACGAAATTTCTCTTTTTCCTCAGATCAGGACTATGACAATTCTAACATTAGCGCGACTGTACTAAGGATCAATGCTATTTTTCCGATCTCCGTCAGCCCCAAAGATACAAACACTCTGCTGTCGTCGAGTTTGCTCTTTTATTAATTAAAATTACCAGACAACATTCTACCCGACTTTACAAACATCCAAAGCTTCATCTTCCAGAATCTCCTGACTATCGAGAATGCACATCTCAGAGTGCAACGTTGGGAATTCATCGTTCTGGGGTCTCCGACAAGGCCTCAGACGACTTTGAGCACAGCGACTGCTTTTGCTGCAGGTCTGAATTTATTTTGGATTTATAACCCGAAGGCATCATTGCAGGTTTGTTACAACCCGTGAAGAATGTACGCCTTGTCATTACGTCTTTTCTCATATTGTTTTTTTGTTCTACCCCCAATACCCTTTTTCTTATATCTTTCCTCACCTTTATGCCATGCACTAGACTATGCGCGTAGAGCTTTGTCAAATGACTGGACATTGCTGAGAGGAAGGAGGAATAGAGTTTTATATACTTGAAGATGAGTTACAGTATATGCGAATCATTAGAGCATATTAGTACTTGGACGTATCCAATATGGTGAAGATGGGTGTTATTCAAATGTTTGTGCATGTCATTTTGTGATCTTCTCAAATCTCATAATATTGTCTTTATTTCTTATCTTTCCTCTTACCCAAATTTCCAGCGCCCTTCCACCTTGTATTCACGGTGTATCCAAGTCATTTGTGCATCCATCAGGCTTCTTGACGTCCATGCTTGAGACATTACCTCGTTACAACAAAAAGATGACAGTGAGTTCTGTCTCGCATGTGTGGTCTCTTTGGTGTTTACATATTTCCTGCTTTTGTGCAGCAGTTAGATGTGTATAGGGTTTGGGGCGCTTTTTACCAGTATTTTTTTAGCAGCGATCCATCAAACTCTTTTGTGATTTGGACAGGCGGCAGAATTTTATTAAGCGTCCGAAAATTAACGACCCATCTTACATGGTAAATGCTTGCGATCCATCTTACCCCTATCTTCATTTGGTATATGAAGGAGAACTGTATCACCTTTTTTGATGTCTAATTTTCGAACTTTAATACGGGCATCCATAGTTTCTTTCATTTTGCTTCTGTATAGGCTTGCGTGCAACATTGTGTATATCACTGTTATCCTTTTTTTATTGTTATTAAAAAAAAAAAAAACAACTTTATTATTTATTGTTATTGAGTTTACACAAAATAAAAGTAAATTCGCCATACACTTTGATAAACAACATAATTAGTCATCATCATTATTATTCGATTTATACCTCATTGGTTGAATCAACGGCTTCGGCTAACCACCTTCTAAATTTTTCTTCCCATACATCAAGAAGGACTTGTGGGTAATCGTCAATTTTGCGAAGTTTATTAAGCTTTTCTAAACTCTGGCTCAATCTCGGCACAACTTGATTCTCGGCGAGTTTACCAGACATGGTCTGCCGTCGTCCAAACCACGCTTCCCATTGAGAGTTGATTGTCTCCCAGCTTTCGGCCACCTTCAAATTAAGTTCGATGTTAGTAATAGTAACACATGTATAAAATATAGCCGAAGTTTGCATTGTTAAAAACTTTCTATGAAAATTAATTTACTGGAGCATCTATTACGATTGTTCGTGATTGTAATTTTTTCGTCTTGGGGGAAGACTAATGGTAGATGTTATAATTAGCTAATACTAAAGCAAATAAAAATTTACTAGCACAAGCAACTCACCTGTACATTTTTCTCAACTTTTCGTTTCCTGTTTACGGGCGTTGTTAAATCCCCTGAAGGAGGACCGTTTCCTCCAGACACTTTTGTCATCCAGTTCTGAACAGTTTGGATCCACCCGTTTACTTCTTCAGTAGGAACCTGTTTGCTTTCCTTAAACCGAAGCAACTCCCGCTCATTTCTCTGCATCTGTTTCAGGAGTTTATCTGGTCGGCCTTCACTGGTGATAAATGCCCAATCAGAAGCCAATAATTCCATTGCTTGCTTCATTTCTTCCCATTGTTCTTCCGTTGGTTCTACGTTCTTCAACTTATAATAATCTTCTTCTGTCATAATTCTTCCCTTAACTTGTTTTGGTCAGATTTTTGGCTTTTGCTAAATTGAGTTATAATAACAATGTTATATATTATATAAGGTATTAAAAGTCAAATTTACAAACACTTACTTTTTTTCCCACCACTTTTTCTTCGATATTATAATTCTCCGTTTCTCCAATATTTCCTACCTATGTATCGTTGTTTACAAAAACGTTAGTAATAATAAAACACAATGTAAATGCAAATAGCTATATAATATGTATCGTTTTCCAGCACACCTCCTCCTCTTCATTGCTATGTTCATTATTCTCTTCCGCTAAATTCCTCGTGTTATTGACTTCTGATTCTGAGTAAGTGGTTTTTTCAAAGTCTGGATTCAGGCTTTCCTCGAAGTCTATATTCAACTGCTCCTCATGATTTCATTATCGTTGAAGTCATCCAATAATGCATAGTATGTTTGTGGATTTTTATTGAATACCAGCTCATACGGCGTACAGTTTGTAACTCTGCATACGGATACATTCATTGCATCAGTCTAACATTTACTTCTGTTGTATTCCATCCATTTAGCAAGCTTGGTTTTTAAAATGGCATTCGCTCTTTCAACAGAGCCCTGTGACTGCGGATGTCTCGGGCTACCTCTAACAATTTTTGTGCTTGGCCACATGGACATGAGCTCTTTGATAATATTCGATGTAAATTCTGCTCCATTATCACTCTGTAATATCAATGGGGCACCAAAAACCATAAATACATTGTACAATGCCTTAGCCACTTCTGTAGGACTTTACTTTTTAAAGGACTCATGGTCGTGCATATGACAAATCCATTTGTAGCCCTGATCTGGTGTGTTACTAATGAAATTTAAAATTCCCAGTTTTTCCAGAGATTTAGTTAATTAGCAAAAGTTCATGGAAAAGATAACAGTTTTTCCCAGTTTTCCAGAGACAATTCCTTTAATTATAAAATGTGCACAAGTGTGCTGTTATTCATTTGATTGTTAATAACAGCTCTTAAAATGAATTTCATTTGCGTTTTCACAAACTGTTCCTGTTATTCCTTTGCCACTTTGTCCAATTTGATGATCTGCATAAATTGTCAACATACAATTACTTTTCATTGTGGCATAAGTAGCCTCATTCAGTTTACTATTTATGAAGACTGATGAAATTACTAACTACTTAATATGGTAATAGGCTATCATTAATTCATATTCTCTGATGCCACCTGCATTATCTCCACTGATGGTATCACCAACTACAATGAACTTTCAATCCAATAGACATAATGACCAGCAGCAGCTCCCTCATCAAGTTCTTGACAGTGAGACATCAGGCATTTTCAGATGAAACCATGCATCTCCTATCATGGAGCAAAGAAGGAATAATGCTCCATTTGATCCACTAATAGCTCTCAGTCAGCATGGTACTCTAGGTACTCTGAGATGTGGCAGTCATCAAAGTGGACATGTCAACAATGAGCCATTGGTCATCCAGTATTACACTAATTTATGTGAGGGAATTAGCTGCAAATCAATAACCAAAGGATTAGAAATCTTGACAATGTAGACATCATTCCAAATGTCATATTTCAATTGACTGATGAATCACAGGCCATTGATGCCATAACAAGGGCATTACTACCACAATTAGGTGATGATAATTGGTTTCTCTTAAGCTGCCAGAGACAAGGGGTACTTTTGCAGATTATGAATAGCAATACCTTTAGTGATCTTTGATATTTCACATGTACTTTTTATTTCAAAACATATTATAAGAGTAACCTCATTAAATTTGTAGTGCAGCAATGCATTGACCTAAGAAATTATACATCACAAAGCTCCCACTGCAGTTATTGTGATGTGCAACAATCCCCCTTCCAACTTCGCCTATTTTGTCACCATCAATACCCACTATTACTATTTCACAACATCCTTGTCTTTTATAATACCTCCATCACCTCAACCAAACCCTGATCCATCCTTTTCAGGCCATCATTAGACACAAATTTATTACACACAACATTATAATTACATGTGAGTTTATAACACCTGTTTGTCAATCTACACTTTATTGAATACAAAGGTCACTCAACGGTTACAACAAGGCGGGATATATCAAATTTCCGGAAAATTTAAGCCACTTAAAGACAATTCCTTTAATGTCATAATTACAACTAGCATACGGATACACATAGACGAAGAACATGCACCCATCTCAAAACCGATCGCCCATTTAATCGGCAATACTACAACCCATGCTGATATTACCAAGACGGGTTATACCTTATGCTTACAAGTAAAGCCCTACTTATCGAAAGACCAGTTTCAACCGTACACGATAATGTTAACCCATCCTGCTAATGGCCGATTGAAAAATGCTATCACGAAATCGAAAAAAAATTCATTGATACATGCGACTGGAATTTTATTCTTTCTAGAAAAGCAAGTCTACTGTGAGTTATTGGAATATCAATTCATTCCGGCACGCACGGATACCGATGACGGAATCACAGTCCCTTGGAAAAAGTCGCAAACAAGACGAACGGCAAATCGGTCATAGAGCAAAGGATTGCGCAAATGCGGCATACTTTTACAACGGCGGTCAACGAGCTTCGAGAACACAATTTCCATTACAAAACTCTTTTGCATTAACTGTTCACAAGACACAGGGCCTCACACTACCTTGCGTATCTTTAGCACTCGACCAAAGTCTATTCTCAGCAGGACAAGCTTATGCCGCCCTAAGTAGATGCCCAACATGGGAACATGTTCAAATTATGAGTCTACATAGGGACGCATTCAAAACTGACCCCGAAGTAATAAAAGAATACCAACGCTTACAACAAATAGCCACTAATATTAATAATATTATAACTGATTAAACATATGATATGTAAACAAACTATTATTAAAAGAAACATAAAACGTACTAACTAAAATATAATACGTCAATCTACTATCATCATGTCAAACTTACCCGCCATAACTATCTAATCAAACTACCATCGCATTTATTTAACTACACGCACTTTACATCCAATTAACATTGTAAAGATGTCACGACCGGCCGATGAAATCGGCCGGTAGCACGAGTCACTTCTAGTTAATATGTAATTACAGAAATAGAGGCAGGCATTGTAGTTTTATCAGAAGAAGAATAGGCATGTTTAGAAAATATATGTACAGAGAAACTTTTTAGTTTAATAAAAGTGAGGATAATCTGGCTTGCTCATTTATTATTATGTCTTTTTTTTTCTGTGTATAGATGTTGTCACTGAATTGCAAAATTTGTTTATCTTTACAAATATGGCATGTGATTTGTTTACTGTTCAACAAGTACCACATCAGCTCCAGCTCAGGTGTTCTGACCTGAACATTTCTACATAATAATAAATATGACTTAATGTGGCATAATATAAGAACTTATATTCATATTCAGAAAACTTAACGCGGCATAAAAATAAGAACTTAGATTCATATTCATATTCATAGAAAAATTACTGACTAATATTACATGCTAAAAATATAACAGCTATAAATTGATTGACCCAAAGTATGATTACATGATACAATGTAATTGAGTGAGTGCAACTAACTCTTTGTTATAAAAACTGTCAATTACAGGTGGGAGGGGAAACACAAGAAAAATTGACATGTTAAAGCATGCTGACATGAAATTAAGAGCACAAAGATATTTTGTACATGCATAATAAAAAGCTAAAATTGATTATATAATACTGTAACAGTTTGGTTTTTGGTTTTTGTGGGTTTCTTCCTGATTATATCTTCAAGACAATAAAGATTAGAATAGTTGTGATTATTTACTTTCTACAAACAATAACTTTTATCACATGTTAAACTCCTGAAACTAAAATACTAACATACTACTGCACTATGTCATCATTATGAATAAATAAACCCAATAACAATAATAATCTTAATAAAAACATAAACAATCTTACAAATTATTTACAAACAATACATCATATGACAATACTTATCAGGAAAAAAAAAACATTATGCAATTCAACTGCCTATATTAATATATTCACTTTCTCATATAAAAAGGCAACTTTTGTTTAAATTCACTGCTACATCCAATATGTTTTTATTTCTATTTTGACTTCCAAATATGATTGCGAACATTCAACCATATTAATATTGTACATAACATCTATCTCTGAACAAACACTTTCTAATTCTAATAAGATATTACAGAAAGGTACCACCGCATGTAAAGTCAACAGTGCTGGTGACTTTCTCAACATTCAATTCACATTATGGTTACCATCTGACAAATTACCTGAAGAAGACTATTATGTTGAAAAACTCTACACAGATTCTATATTAATATGTTTTGTTACTGGAAAATTTAAAATGTTAAATAATGGATCCCTGGAACTCATTCTTTCATCCTGCAAGAGTGTATTAATAGAAAAAGAAAAAATGCCAGTGTAAGCCCATTATCTATTTATTGGGAAAAATCAAGGAGGCTTGTAGCACTACTGATTTAGGATATCACTTAACTCTCGAAGTCAAACCATACTTATCATCCGAACCGTGGATGTCGTACGTCTACAACAAAAACGAACGAGACTGACGAGGAGATAAGCGGTGAGAAAGATACAATCTCGTCGGTGGAAGCGGTAGATATATCGAAGGAGTCGGATAAACGGGAAGAAAGTACTCCGCAACAGAGACAGTCAGGAAAAAACCAAAAACCAAACTGTTACGGTATTATATAATCGATTTTAGCCTTTTATTATGCATGTAGAAAATATCTTTGTGCTCTTAATTTCATAGTCAGCATGCTTTAACATGTTAATTTTTCTTGTGTTTCCCCTCCCGCCCGTAATCGACGGTTTTTATAACAAAGAGTTAGTTGGACTCACTCGATTACGTCGTATTACTATTACGTAATCATACTTTGGGTCAATCAATTTGTAGCTGTTATATTTTTAGCACGTAATATTAGTCAGTAATTTTTCTATGAATACGAATACGAATCTAAGTCCTTATTTTACGCCGCATTAAGTTTTCTATGAATATAAATATAAGTTCTTATTTTACGCCACATTAAGTCATATTTATTATTATGTGTAAATGTTCAGGTCAGAACACCTGAGCTGGAGCTGATGTGGTACTTGTTGAACAGTAAACAAATCACATGCCATTTTGTAAAGATAAACAAATTTTGCAATTCAGTGACAACATCTATCACTTTATTTTTATACACAGAAAAAAAAAGATATAATAATAAATGAGCAAGCCAGATTATCCTCACTTTTATTAAACTAAAAAGTTTCTCTGTATCTATATTTTCTAAACATGCCTAAAACTACAATGCCTGCCTCTATTTCTGTAATTACATATATTGCTCAACAAACAATAGAATCAATAAATGAATACACTATACAAAAAGGTCTTGCTTACTGTCACCTACCTGAAAATCATACAAGCAATATGATTTACTTACCTTGTACAACAAGAAGAAGAAGTGGATGAATCTGAGAAAAGCAAATCTTTAATTGGTGACAAATTGAATGGAATAACTTACAGTTGAAGCTGTTTATAGTGAATCTGGTTAAACGGAATTCTGGCTGTAGTGAACCAAAATGCTGAAACCCCGAAATTTTATTAAATAATAAATCTGTTTATAGTGAATTTTATTAATAAATTTGTTTATAGTGACTGTGAACTTGTTGTTCAAAGCCCCAAATCGAAATTTCATATGATATTCCCGCTTTTTATTGTAGACTGTCACATAAACGTAGCATGGGAAATTATTGTATGATTAGGCCATTAGCCAAATTTAGTTAGTTAATAGTAACCAGACTGTAAAACAATTGCTGAACAATGCTAACATTTCAGCAAATAATTATGTTCACATTGAAGATGAGAACAATTAAATAATCCTTACTGATGAAGATGTAAGAGCAAAAGTGAAGCTGAAATGGTAGAAAGTTAGAAACAATAAGTAATAGAATGGCCAGTATATCAATTACAATTGACACAGTTTTAAAAAGTTTATATCAACAAGGACCAGAATTTGGCGAAGTTGTCAAAGAAGTAAAGATTTTGAGAGCATTACACAGATGGGTGGGAGAAAAATCTTAAACAAGTTAGTTTTCACCATTTTGAAGATAAAATGATTGAACAGTAATTGGGAGAGTAGTTGGGAATAATAAAAAGGCCATTGTTGCACATGTGTATTTATGTCACATGACATTCATTATAATGAATGCTGGCTATTACTATAGTAAACCAAAAGTCTTAGACTGGAACAGTTTACTATAAACAGCTTCAACTGTACTTATTACATGGAAAATTTACCTAATTTACTCAACAAAGATTTCCTTGACATGATAATTATTTCTCATGTCAGGTTGCCTATTGTAATATCTGATTGTCCCGCTTTACCTTTGATTCCACAGTTTATGGCAAGACCATTAATTCCACTTCTGTGACAACAAGGGCATTTGCATCACTGAGTATCTCAGGAAAGGTGAAGACTGATCAATGAAATCATTATAAAACATCCATCAAATGGACACCTGGCAAAGTCAATAACAGCAACACAAAAGAATGCTACCATCCAGTTCTAACAATTCACACAAAAAAACTTACTGTATACTTCTGAAAATAAGCACCCCTTTTAACAATAGGGGGTGCTTATTTTCAGAGGTTAGACTTTCGTGTAACAAAATTGAGGTAATCACATGCAAATAGTGTTAATTAATACTATATTAGTAAAATATCTCGAATTTTCTAAAAGTGGCAAAAACAAACATGAGCATTTAATATGGCAAGTTTTGACAGAATCAAAAATGTCTTCTAATATTATTGTCAGATCCAATGAATATCGATAATAATCTTCTGTGATTTCGTTTTTATAGGATCTTTATTGACAACTACGGAAAACCGCTAAAGCTGCTTTTAGACAGCTAGTACATTAATGTTAATGTGACTAAACTGAATCAACAAAGAAACTTGGCCTAGTGCCTGGTATTTATATAGTTAATTAATGTTAATATT